TTGCTGAGATGTAGTCGCAAAATATTTGTGTTGGAAGTACACAGCCCCGTGTTTTTATGGCAATTTGTGGGTTGGTAATCTCAATCCTCGCCTTTGGATTTTGCTTAATGAAAACGTGTCTAGACACGGTCATCAAAAGAAAAATGTCCCATTGTATTGGATTTTGGGGTGGAATAGTGGATGCGAAGTACTACGTGTGAGTATGATTCATTAGTTTGGCACACTACATGCTAATATTTAACTAACTACTCTCTATATTCCAAATTATAAGACGTTTTAACTTTTCTAGATATATTGTTTTTATTATACATCTAAATATGTCTCTAAATATAATGTATCTCTAAATATAATGTATCTCGGTACATAGTACAAACATCTTATACTCCCTCCGGTCCATTTTATCTGGCGCAAGTTAGAATGATACGGCCTCCTAGATTACACTTTGACTGCTTTATTTATATTATATTATTTATGCTTATAAATTTATAATCATTGGATAGTATAAATCCTTACTAATATAATAATATAAAGTTTGTATTATAATAGTTAAAAATTATTAGCTTAATTATTAGTTAAAGTTTTTAAAGTTTGAATTTTAATATACATGTGCGCCTAAAATAGACCGGGGGGAGTATATTATACGGCGATGTATATATTTGGGTCGAGAAGATCACATGATGGGAGGCCGGGTTCCAAAAGCAGACCATCAGCTCGTAACTGGACCCAGTTGCCAGAACACATGCTCTTATGGGCCGGAAACGACATTTTGATGGGCCTAGTGAAGCCTCGGTCCGCATACAATGGATAGACCTCATTTAACTGCCTACTCTCGTGCCGTGCCAGTAGCCCAGTACCCAACCAACCCAACCCATCTAGCCCAGCTAAGCCCAACGACAACCATCACTTCGCCTTGGAGCCACAAGGAAAAAGAAGAGCAGCCTGCAGATAGAGCAGAGAAAGCAAATTAAATATCGTCATCTACCAACCGGAAACTGGAAATCAAAAGCAAGCTGCACCATTTATACATCATTGTTTGCACAGTGATTTGCTTAGTTCAATTTTGAATCAAGTTCATATAATCCATACATGGTGCTTAAAATAATGATAATCAATTCCACGTGTGTGTATTGATGTGATTGTTTTGTATATATATGTACTACTATGGAAATATATTCCATAATTAATTTATTCGTTCTTATTTTGTATCATAAGTGTTAATACTGTTTAAACAACTTTAGTCAAACTTCAAGTCATTTGACTTCTCGTAAAATGAGAAAAGCATATCATTTTTGAGAAAGAGGGAGTAAACAAGGATGTGCATGTCCAAGCTTGATTTCAATTTCGCTTCTCAATCATCGTAGATGTCAAATCTTAGATCAGTTGGTTGGGTTTCTCGTGGTGAAACCAATGAACTAAATCACCACCTATCAAATTATGCCCAAATTTACCTGCTTGGTTAAGTTTCCTCTGTCTGTTTGCCAGTTCTTTACGAACTGAGAAGACCAATGCTGTGAAGCGGCTTCCATTTGTTACGTTGTTGCCTCTGATTGCTTGTCGACGTTGGTGCTGTAGCACCTGGTGAGTGGTGACCAACGCTCTCCGGGATGGCTTGCTAGCAAAAGGCAACTGGGGACGAAGGCAAAAAGCAGGAGCGACCATATGGCTGAAGGCAGGAAGCATGACTGGTGATTGGTGACCAGGTCTGGAAACTGAGAGGAGAGTTGCGCTGCAGCGGCCAAGGTTCGCTTCGTTATTGCCGAGCATTCACTTCCTTTCAGCCTTTCGCCCGACGCCTGAGGGCGCTTCGTTTCCTGCATTGACGCTCAGCAGTATGCAGGTGTATTCTGTATACATGAGCACTAAACAAATCCTATTGCATCAGCCACTATCTATGTCAAATTAAATGAGGACGGAAAGTTACATGCTTACGGTGCTCTTAGGCATGCCTTATTTGGAAGTTCTCAGCAGAAGGAGTGACCTAATCCTCATGTCATGCGTGCATACTGCATACAGAAGCTTTGCTAATAAGCTAGCACACACTTCATGTTTCAGCTCCGACCATGCATGTTGCTTAAGGATGTACGCAACACTAATTCTAATCATGAAAACTACTAATCAATCTAATCGAATCCAACCAGCACCATTTAGCTTGACAATTGATATATACTAGAAGGCTAAACGAGCTACTACTACAAATCATGCAAATGAGGTTTCAACAACCTTCTGTGTGTACCATGTGTACCAAATGTACATGTACATGCATCCAAACTTTTTCTTATTCTTTTGTGCATGATAGAAAATGCGACAACGCATAATTTTTTTTCCATATGTGGCAGCTCAGTTCACGCATCACCTAATCCAATCATATGCATTCTCCCTTTTTTGGAGAGCCAATTATATAAACTCTCTTGTTCAATGCCTTGTGCGCATTTTCATGCTAATCATTGGAAGGAAAATAGTGGATGAGGACAGAGGAAAGGAAATAAAAAGGCCTGATAGGAACTGCATAGATTAATTAGTGAAATACTTTATTTCGTTCAAATATAAAACGAAAGGGACATCTGCTCTGCTTCCAGCTAACCCTCTCCCCTAATTGAAAAGGGTTCTATGTCTGGTGGTGAATTGGTGATCACTGACAAGGGAGCATGGTAGGATAACACTTACATGCCAAATTTTTATCTCCTCCTTTGTGCACATCTGATGTGGAATCGCACAGCAGTGGAGTTGTTGTATGTTTTCATCACTGTAAACTAAGTATACATCATTTAAGTAAATGTGACTAGTCCTTTTCAAAAAATAAAGAAAGAAAGTAATATGAACAATAGTTCAGGGGTGACTGTGACTTTCATTTTTCTGGATCACAGGTTCAGCGGTGACTTTAGGAACCCACTGTGAAGTTTCTGATTTGCATTTTTGAACAATCACCCAAGGCATAAGTGTTGCTTTCAATTGTTGTTTAATTATTTGTGTGTGTGTAGATGTTGAACCATATACGGATTATTTAACCAGGGTAGAACACATCAATGAATAGACTTAACAAAGGACTTAAGATTTTAATATGCGCTCAAGCGATTTCGATAGGGATATTATTGGATCGGTGTGGGATTAGGTTCTGTTTGACAAGCCATGGATGCTGACTCATTAACAGGGGACATTGAGCGACCAAATTAGAATCAGGAATCAAAAGGCTATATTGGTGTTGCCTGTCCAGTTGGTCTGGTCATTACTTTAATTTCTCGCCGCATGAATAATTGGGCATTGAAATGAATATTGGAGAATACACTGAATTTGTACTTTTCTAGCTAACTGATGCAAGGTTTCTCAAAGCTCCACTGATTTTCAACATGTTTAGATTCACATTATTTTTTCAGTCAATATAGTTATTTTTATATGATTTGATCTAGTTTATATAAACAACACATTATGTTTATTTATTAATTAAAATTCATGTTGAGAGCTAGATAATACTGTAAACGTCTATTATTGGGCCAGGTTTTCTGTATAAATAAAAGTATGCTGATGGAGCAAAGAAATGCCGAAATATGGTTTGCAGTGTTCATACCCCAAGGCAACATATGTAGATAATACAGTAAACATCAATTATTGATTTTTTTTCAAAGAATTCCAGTAGGAAATTGTCAGGTCATTTTTTTTTTGAACAAACGTCAGGTCATTTTATTAATGAGTAGGAGGAAATACAGAAACAACACAATAACAACAACAGCAGCAGCAGCAGCAGAAAAAATATCCGATTTTTTGGACATTTAATTTCGGTAATGATAAGCTAAGTCATCTAGAATTAAATCAGATTTGCACAGACATGGTCAAAGTCCAAACGTGACAGATGGTGAAACATTGTTGAGTGGAGAATCGGTTGCTGCAAGAAACCATGTTGAGGCCATGTTTAGTTCCAAAAAAGTTTTCCAAAAAGTATACAGTAGCTATCACATCGAATCTTGCGATACGTGTATGGAGCATTAAATGTAGACGAAAAAAAACTAATTGCACAGTTTGGTTGAAAATCACGAGACGAACGTTTTGAGCCTAATTAGTCCATGATTGAATACTAATTGCTAAATAAAAACGAAAGTGCTATAGGAGCCAAATTCCCAAATTTTCGCGAACTAAACGAGGCCTGAGAGTTAAAAAGGAGCCGTTACTTGTCAGCAGCCCATAGGATTGTGAGTGAAACTGTAATTCTTTCTATGCCACTTTTTTTTTGGAAACAAATGCCACCTAAAATTTGAGAATAAGTTCTATAGGCATCCATCACATGTGTTCAATCTTTGCAACAAAAGAGGGGCATGCAAATGCAATAAAGAAAGATAAACTGAAGGGACCTGTGCTGGGGCCAACCAAAGAGGGCAGTCAGTTCCAATGTGATAAACTGATAAGAGTGCAGCCTGGGATTCCTGTGGCTTCATGACAAAAGTTTTTCAGGTGAAGACAAAGCCCTAGACCTCCTCTCCTTCCTTCCTCCTCTTTCTCTCTCTCCAAGGATAGGGAAAAGGGGAGAACAAAATCACAGTACAAAAGCAGGCTATAAGGACAAGATCTTCCTCTGGACTGTGGGATTCTCACACCTATAGAAGCTGAACCTACTACACTGTCATATCAAACAAGAAGAGAGAGAGGTTCAGCGTGTGAGCAAGAGCAACTCAGAATAGAAACAGTCAAGACTTCCTGCCTGCCCTCCAACTCTCCAAGGCTCCAAGCTACTTTGGTGTTCCTGGGCTTGGCCTTTGTTGCCGTGGAACTCTCAATAATTCCGGTATGTGTTCTTTGGCTCCACCTCTCTTCCTTTGCATGTGGATTTTTCAGATAGCCGTTCATGACCAGAAGATTTGATTATGTTCTTCTGTTTTGGATGCAGAAGCCTGCAGGTTGCTAGTTGATACGCAAGAAGTAGGAGGTGAGTGTGTGTATGCCTCACAGGATGGGAGAAACTAGTAGTTCTAGTCATTCAAGGCAGGATCCTTCTCTTCTTGGCTATGGCTTCCATGGCGCCATCGCCAACTCCACTCCTCCTGCAAACTTCTTGTAAGAACACATCTCTCTCTCTCTCTCTCTCTCTCTCTCTCTCTCTCTCTCTCCTTCATATTCTGTTTGCCATCTCTTTTTTGTCTTTTGCCGACCAAGATTTATGCAAATGCAAAATTAAAGATGAATGACCCTGCACCTTGCACTTCTTGTTTAAGTTTGTACTAGTTTGTGCATGCTGTTTGGTTTTAAACTCCCAAAGTTCTCTGTCTTCCATCTTCTGTCGTTATTATTGGTCGTTTTTTCTCCCCCAACGTTCGGCATGCTTCTTGCCTCTAATGTTTTTTCTCTACCACAAATGGTTACCCCAAAATTAAAGTTGCCCTTTCACATGCATGGCAGTGACCAAGAAGGGGCTACCTATTTTGGAGAGCTGGAAGAAGCGTTCATGCAAGTTGCCTCACTCAGAAGAACTCAACAACAGGCTGCAACCGTCTCTGCACCTCATCATGGAGACACCAAGCGTACGCCAACCCCACCCCTCTCTCTCTCTCTCTGACCAATACCAAGAAAGCACACAACCTTTTCTCTCTCTGGCTGGCCAAGGCCAAGGTCCAGTTTAGTTGTAAAAAAATTTTGCAAAATTTTTCAAGATTCCCCATCACATCGAATCTTTGGACGCATGCACGAAGCATTAAATATAAATAAAAAATAAAACTAATTATACAGTTTAGACGAAATCCACGAGACGAACTTTTAAGCCTAATTAGACTATGATTGAACACTAATTGCTAAATAACATCAAAAACTGCTACAGTGCCATTTTACCAAAATTTTTTACATCTAAACAAGGCCCAAGAATACACAACATTGAGAGGCACTTTTACAATAGGTTAGGGCATTGTAGTCAAAAGTAACCATGCAAGAGCAGCAGGAGTGGCAGTTGTGCTGCATGCTGCAGCTGTACATAGCTTGTGTGTGGCGTTGTGACTGCCACTGCCTTGTGATTCCTCTCTCTCCCTCTCTAGAGTGCAACAAGTCTCCATGGCAGTACAACAGGACCGTAGTACCAACTCTCTGGCTTTCTGCAGGCACAACAAGCTCAAAGCTCCACTCGCTTTCACTGCCACAGTGGCCCCCACTTCCCTTCCTCTCCTTGTGATCCCAATGCATCCTTTCAGTTTCACCTCTGGAACTTGGATCGTACATGTCTTGATCTCCTCTCCCCTATGATATCTTCTTGCAGCCTTTCCCACTGCTGCTACTACTACAGCTACAGCTACAACGGCTACAGCTGCTAGGCCACCTCCTACACTGGACATCTTCCCAGCTTGGCCTATGAGGTCTCTTCACGCACCCAAGGTATGGACCTTGGCCGGCTACAACTTTTTATAGAGTTTATTTATCTGTTCACATCACATATACAGCCAGTACAGGCAAGCAAGAACACAAGTTTGCAACTGCTCTAGCTCCCTTTTCTTTTTGCACGTCAGGAGTGCTCGAATGTGACAGCAGACAGCACAGACGACTCAGAGAGCAGCAGCAAGAACAACAGCAACCACTCCTCAGATCAACTCGGAGCAGCAGCAAACATGGCGAGCCAGTTCGAGCAAGCTTCACCGCAGCAGCAACTTCAGCACAAGGTATGTAGGCATTTCATCCCCTGTGATGTCCATCGCCGCATCTCAATTTTTTTTTGGTGTATGCATTTGTTCTTGTTTGGTCTTTTTCTTTGCTTCTTCATCCGCCTCTGTTGGGTCTTGCTCATCCTTATCAAGTTGAGATATCATGGACTTATTGTTCCCTATCATGGATGGCTTCATGTCGCTGGCTAGCCCACAAAGGCCACAACTTCCGAGATGCTCATGCAGCTAAGCTAGCTACATGCTCCTATTGGTAGAAGAACACATTATTCAAGGGCATTTATGATCTTGCTGCTCCCAAGATCGCCAATCCCAACATGTTAGGTGAATCTTTCGGCCCCTATAGAAATGGGAACAGTTTCTACTTGCTTCTTCCATCATGCTTCTTGCACTGGACTAGTATTACATATTAGATTAGATGGAGAATATGGCCTTTCTGAAAAAAAAATAGTGGAGCTTTTATTTAATTTTAGGATGATGGACAACATCTTCTACAAGAAATAGTAGTTCATCTAAAACAAGAACTAGTCAATCTATATCGGCGGTATTTTTGCTATAGGGTGTGGATAAGTCTACAAGACTATGTAGGGGATATGTTAGGTTAGTGCAGGATAGATCATGTACTGGCGTACTGCCATTATTAGTGCTGCAATATAAGACAAGTTAGCATTCTTACAATATTATTGTCACTAGCTTACAAAATTGTGCCCTGATAGAAATGCACCAACTGAACCTTCTTATATTACATAATGGCAACTTTGGGTCAGTGGTGCTTTAGGTACTTTCTGGTCAATTGATCAACTGCCAAGATATATTGGGTGAAAACATTGTATATGAACTGAATGATTCACACTTTAACTGAAATAAACATTGCAAGTTAGAGTGTGACAGCAGCAGAAGCAAAAGGCAAAACTATGTTTTGTCTGTTGTAAGAGTGGGTGGATTTCACCAAATGCACACCAGTTTTTTTTTTTTTTTTTTTCTGCTTGATGTAACGTGAATGTCGAGATCCTACTATATAGTATTTTTACGCCATGGACACGCAATGATGAACAGCAATGTTGTTAATTGATTTCTCTCCTATTGTGTAATTGTGCTCAGGTTTACTAATCTACATGTTCATGTCTGCTTTGGTATGCAGAATATGGCTACAAGTTCCACTCCAAGAACTGGGAAGGCTCTTGATCCAAAGGTCTCTCTATTGGTTATTTCAGTTACCTTTTTACAGTAATTCATATTCTCAGGGTCCTGCAGTTTACAATGTGTCTGAAGTATTTGTTGTCAACAGGTGATCAGAAGGCTGGCTCAGAATCGCGAAGCTGCACGCAAAAGCCGGCTGCGAAAGAAGGTAATGGTCTGAGCATCAGCTAGATGAAAACTGAAGTTCTTCTCAGCAGTGACTTTAAACAAGTTCCTGATAGTTGATTTTGTCAATATATATGTCATAGGCTTACATTCAGCAGCTTGAGAGCTGTAAGCTGAAGCTTTCTCAGATGGAACAGGACATGCAGCGAGCCCGTTCCCAGGTTCACTTTCTACCCCTTTTGTTTTATTTGTTTGTTTTGTTTTTTTGCCTGCTGACCTCTAACTGCACATCTGAAATTCTGAATCAATGAAAATCTGAACTTTTGTGTCCTGTCCTTTTAGGGCCTCTTTCTTGGAGGTGCTCCAGGTGCAAACACCAGTTCAGGTGCCTCGTCTGATTTTCATTTCTCAACGTTCTCTTCAGCTGTACATACTATGTAGTTTGTCTCAGCATGTACCATCGGTCACAGTATATACCATTTCTCTGACTGACGAGTGGCGTCCATGTTCAGGCGCCGCCATGTTCGACGTGGAGTACGCCAGGTGGCTGGACGACCACAGCCGGCGCCTGGCCGAGCTGAACGGAGCTCTGCACGCACACCTGGCAGATGGTGACCTCAGAGCCATCGTCGACGACGCCCTGACTCACCATGACGAGCTGTTCCAGCTCAAGGCCATGGCGGCCAAGTCCGACGTGTTCCATCTCATCACCGGGGTGTGGACGACCCCTGCTGAGCGGTGCTTCCTCTGGATGGGTGGATTCAGGCCCTCTGATCTGCTCAAGGTATGATGAATTCGTTTCAGTAAATCTGAAACAGAACATCTGGTATCAAACTGCCTGCATGTCTGCATTCACCTAGCTAGACTGTTAATCTGAATCAAGGTCCATTCTGTCAGAAAGTGCACAAGATAGGCTGACACTAGAGTATAATGTTACTTTCTCAATACTAAGATCACAAGAAATTTTCCAACCAACAGTGGGGAACAATGAACTCAGGCTAAATCAGATCTATTCTTAGTACAGCAAGGTTTTCTAATTCCGATAAATAAAAGTTTTCATGTTGTTGCAGACACTGCTGCCCCAGCTAGATCCACTGACAGAGCAGCAAGTAGTCAGCATATGCAACCTTCAACAGTCATCACAGCAGGCAGAGGAAGCTCTCTCGCAGGGCTTGGAACAGCTGCATCAGTCACTAGCTGACACCATGTCTGGTGGATCTCTGATTGACGAAGCCAACATGAGCTTCATGAGTCAAATGGCTCTTGCCCTCAGCAAGCTGGCCAACCTTGAAGGTTTTGTGATACAGGTTATGGTTTCTCATCAAATCTAGAATCTCAATCAATATGTTACTATGCCAGTTTCATAGGTACCCTATAGATCCTACATACGTGCTGCTATGATGTTCCTCATTTCACTCAACTATACAGATGAGCTATAGAATGCTTGATAAAAAAAATGTTGCGGCAATAATACCATATTCAGGGTAACTTTTTGCATCTGGTCAAACCTGCATCATAGTAAATCTCGTTAGTACAATTATTGCCCCAAATAAGCAACTGTTTCAAAATTTTAATCTACAGAATTTGCAACACATTATCTAATGCCATGCTATCAATATTGATGTTTACGTACCTGCATTCTGGAAAGAAAGGGCTCATCAACTAACCATGTAACAATATGGTTTTGGAAGGCATCTTTATATTCTAAGTATATAATCATAACACAGGGTAGCTAAAGGCCTATTGATCAGTGGCGATTACTTAAATAGTTAGATTAGTAGAGATGCCAAGAATAATTTTCCTGCAACATGTGCTAAAACTACGTGATTAATTTTCAGGCTGATAACTTGAGGCAACAGACTCTTCATCAGATGCACCGTATTCTGACAGTTCGGCAGGCAGCTCGATGTTTCTTGGCAATTGGCGAGTACCACAACCGCCTTCGTGCCTTAAGCTCCCTCTGGGCTTCTCGACCTCGAGAGTAAGCACGATGCAGTTCCTACGTCATCCCCTATCTTTAATTGTTTTATTTAAGAAAGAAGTTCCCAACCTCTAGTTGTTGAAGGTAGTATTCACTAATGATTGGACAAATTCAAGTACTTATTAAATATTAATACAAGAGTGACCCAGGGTTTCTGTACACGCAAGTTAAACTAATACCAAGATGTGCCCTACTAAATCAGCAGGGAATGGACCGTCTTCCTACCAGCAATCAGAACTCAAAAGTCAGCAAGCAACCATAACAAAAATAAAGTCCTTATTCCCTTATAAAAAAGGGGGCCATGCCATGGCATAAGAAACAAGGAATAAACATAATTTCTGATACTTTCTCTGGATGTTTGTCCAACTAACTGAATTCTATAAAACTCAAAGAATTAGCTGAATAGCTATAGCAGATACTTTCAATATGCTTCCCTGATCTATTTATTATTGCTGGTGCCTGTGTTGCTGGCAGGATACTGGTGAACGATGAAGGGAATTGTGAGGAGATAAGCATTGCAGCACAACCATCCCAAAGCCAATTTTCATCCTTCTGATTGACAAATGTTGTGGAACTAACCTTCAGCATAGGAGCAAGAGAAAAATGACTGGGAAGAGAGTTTTTTTTTAGGATGCAACTAGCAGACATCTGAGAGCGACCGAAAAGAGCTGGGAAATGGAGGAAGCTTTAGAACAAGGAATGTTTCTGAAACTTTTTTGTTTCGGAAAACGCTTTCTGAAAATGTGTGGTGTACAAGAAAATTCCAGGGAGGTGAAATTGTTTTGTTCACTGCAGTGGGAAGGGGAAAGAGAAACACATGTCCAGTACTATGTGTTCTTTTGGTTCTGTCTGGTCTAAATTCTTGTAACAGCTCTTCCTATGATGGAATAATCCATTCAGCAATTCCACCAATGATTACTGGTTAGATCATTGACTGTTGAATAGGATGGTTGAGCTATCTAGTAATTTGTATGACTATATGTTTGTCCACTATCTAGGACTATATTTGGTTAGTATGCTGTAATCTTTATCTATATATATCGACCTATTTGGTTACATAAAGAAACACATTTAAGCTAATGCCCACTCACATTCAATTAGCCAGGTGAACAAAAAAGTCCCAAACATGGACATAAATTCAAATATGTTTAAAGGTAGAAACACCAATATTATTGCTTCAAAATAAATAAGAATGACACAGAAATTACACTTGGTCTAAGCAGATATGTCATTTTATGCACCAAAGAACAAGGCCATCACTAAGGAAAATGTTCCACTTACAACTACTTATCCTTTTTCTGAGAAACTCGTTGTTTTGACCACTCTTCCAAGGTTTTCCGATGAAGGGCGTTCATTTTTATCTTTCTTTTTTCACGGATGATGTTCTCAGCATCTTTCCAGTTCTCGGCAATGCCCAGCGCTACTAGAATTGCACACACAACACAAGCACTTCTTCCATGACCTAATGTGTCCATCATGAAGAACAAACATAAAAGTCAATATACTGCATAAATACTAGGAAATACAATTATGTACATAATATGAACATCGAGATGCAATCCTGAAATTAGTTATAACAAAAGGTGGATTACTAACCAAATGCGCAATGGACATAAACCGGCTTCCCCTCAGATCTCTTTTGACAAGCCCAACGTGCAGCTTTTTCAATTTGGTGCGGTGTTGGAGCTCTCGTATCCCAAGTTGCAAGACAAAGATACTCGTCTGCTGGAACGAAGGAACTTCTTGGAAGCTCACAAGTGCAATCTATGACAGACGGGCTTCCAGGAGGCAAATGTTTCAAGAGAAACGGCCATCCTCCCAGATATAGGCCTTCCGCGATCTTGTCATACACAGACTCCTTCCTCATGTGTCTCTTAACCATTGCATATGTCCGAGCAAGCGTCAAGAAAGGACCAAACAGTATAAATGACCAAAATGGAAATCTTCCCACTGAGTTCTTCCCCAGGATCCATGGTAGGTTGATGGCATCATGGGATGCGACCGTGATAACAAAAGCAACAATACTGGTGGCTAGGAAAGGAAGCATAATAATTTTCATGCCCAGCTGGCACAGACTAACAGATGTGACAAGAAAAGCTGTCGCAGCAATGCCAGTCACCTTGGATATCCCCATTGCTATCTTTTATAGTTATAAGATCACTTCCTCTGCATTATTAAGGCAAAATCTGCACCAAAGTTTCCATCAGCTGCCAGGTCATTTCTAGCAGAGCAGTGAAATTTGACTTCATTAAGCAACAAACACGTGTGCCTTGGAGGATTAGGTCTAGTCATTCCAGAAATAGCAACAAAACATCATATATAAAGCATGCCAGCAGCTTGTTGGCGTGCACAAAGGAAAGAAAAATAAGCCCACATTTTTCGAATCTGAATATTTTGGACGCGACGAGTAATAATTCCATAGTCCGGCATAAAAAAATCGATGGCCAGCTTGATACTAGCATCCTAACTCAGGGAAGAACTTTAGAAAATAACAAAAAGCCCACAAACACGATTAACCCAAACATTAGAATTAAGCAGACTCATTCATTGATTAATGCTGCGAAGTAATGATGCTGATGAGGGGGGAAATCGAATTAAAAATCATGTGCGTTAGGTTATATGAGATTCCATCAGTCTAAGTTTCAGAGCATGTTGCTTAGTGTGATTCCACCATTGCAGCCTATGCGGGTAACTAGATGCCTAGATCCAGGCAGTGGACAAGATCCATCTAATCCAAAGATTACAAATATAACGGATCAAGAATACTATAGCAACAATATATTCATGAAACATGCCTATACTGATCTGAAACAAGTACCACGGGACAGAGGAAAAGCACATCATCACGTTCGCGCGCGGGGGAATCGAAAGAGAGAGGGATGAGCTTCCGGGATTACCTCGGCAGCCAGGCGAGGCGCGAGGAGCGGTGAGGTCTGGGGCAGGGAAGCAGAGTCCGGAATCGAGGGTGGGAAGCAGAGGGGGATGAGGATGGCCGGCCGGCCGTGTCCGTACAGGCTCCGCCCTCCATTGGCATTGCTCCCCGGCATCGTCGGGGACGGGGACGTGCTGACCGACCTGGTGGGCCGTAGAGAGCACGTGCTAGTACCTTGAGGCCCAGCCCAATGCAGCTTTACGGAACGGGCTGACGGGATTATTATGGAACCGATTTGGTTCGGCCCACCTTTTATCGGGCGATTTGCAAAAATATATGTCGGTTTTCAAAAATTACAAAATAAGTTACTTCCACGGTTCCACCTGCTCAGGTTCGTTTCATCCTGAATCACGAGAACTGAGGCAATGGTAAGGAAGATTTTGATTTATAGGGGATTTAATCTCCCTCGATCCCTCTCAATCTCCGTGGCTTTGACAGAAAACAATCAGGGCCAAAAGACTTGTTTGAATGCACATATATTCACATCAATCTAAATGTGTTGAAGTGAATGTGGAAATTAGTTTAAGTTTCATTTTAATCCACTTCCACACATGCATGTGGATGGATGTGGATACTGTCGGGACCGAATACTGGGTACCAAAAGAGGAGGAGCTAATAATCATCAAATGTTGATAGTTCCGAACAGACAAGAACGCGACTACACCTCTTGCCCAACGACCGAGGGTTAACTCCGCCTCGTCCGACCCCTGAGGGCTGGCTCCGCCACGTCTGACCCCTGAGGGCTGGCTCCGCCTCGTTCTACCCTTGAGGGCAGGCTCCGCCTCGCCCGACGTCCAAGGACTGGCTCCGCCTCGCCCGACGCATGTGCGCTGCTCCTTCATAACTACGTGCGCAGATAAGGCGGGACACTCAAGTCAACTGCAATACCGACGACCATACCCTGCACATCTGCAGGAAAGTACCATCAGGATATGACCAGACGGGCGCTTTAAGCCCTTCCAAGCATGTCAGAGCCCAAATAGTGTTGTGGCCGCCGACATTTGTCCTACAGTGTTATGGACGTCGGCATCTGCCCTCGGACATGAATCCTAACAGAAACATACGACAACCACTACAGTCCAGGAGGAAACTCTTGTCATCTACAGTAACGAAAGTGGGGCCTCTACGCCATCTGCTCCCCGTAGGGTCGTGGCTCGGCACCCGGGCGCACCGCGTCGCCCGTCGAAGTGGGATGGGACGTGACCACTTGCTGAACGAAGCCAGAGCACGGCCCTATCAGGATCAGCGAACGTGCTATCCCTGGCATCGTCTACCGTGTCAGCAGGGCAGGCTCAAAGGAAAAGGAAGACCCGACACCTTCGAAGGACCTTCTCTGCCTCTGTTTTTTCCTCTTTCTCCCATCTGTAATCCCTGCTCCCCCTTGATCTATAAAAGGGAGGGCAGGGCACCCCACTAAAGGGGGAGATCAATCCAACACCCCACGTACCACATAACACATAGCTGAGCAGCAACAAAGCTCTCAGCACCAGTTCGATCTTTCCATCAGAGGTTTGGGATCTGTCCCTCTCTCGCCCATTTGTACCCCCTACTACGAACCTTTCAGTGCTAATAACATAAGCAGTAGCAGCAAACTGAATGTAGGGACATTCTGCCCGAACCAGTATAAACATTGTGTCTTTTAGCACACCATCCGGGCCCAACGCGCATCAAATACAAATTTACTAGTTGGTGTTTATTCGAAACACCGATAGTTGGCGTGCCAGGTAGGGGACCTTTGTGCGTTTCGACGTTAATATCATGCCACGGATGGTTACCCACGGTATCAGCTGGGCCCCAGGCGCACACATGCGCTTCGGGGACCTAGACTTCATCATCACGATGGGAGGAGAGCTGGCGTTGGCTCATATCGCCATTCAACCTCTCCCCTCCATCGGCCTCAACTACGAGAGGCTTGAGCGCCAGCTTGGTGTTTCCCTAGGACCCCAGCCAGTCCAGGGAGGACCAACGCCGTCTCACATTTTCCGACGCCAATGACATGGCGCGGCCCATCGGAGGAGAACCTCTCTCTCCGGAACACCCCACACGGAGCGCCTCGACAGTGCTTTCGTTCGGTCTCTGCAACGCCGCGGCGACCGTTAGCCACCTTGTGGCACAGCGCATGATCCCATTCCCCGCGAACAACAAGTTCATGGGGGTGATCGAACACGTCACGGAGTCTCTCCACGATGTCCTCGCAGAGGAGCCAGGGTCGCCCTCTGGCTCTGACTCCAGCAGGGGGACCCATCACCCCTCCCGGGAATGCTTCATGACAGGTACCCCCGAGGGGCACCCCACTAAAGGGGGAGATCAATCCAACACCCCACACACCACATAACACACAGCTGAGCAGCAACCAAGCTCTCAGCACCCGTTCGACCTTTCCATCAAAGACTTGGGACCTGTCCCTCTCTCGCCCATTTGTATCCCCTATTACGAAGCTTTTAGTGCTAATAATACGAGCAGCAGCAGCAAACTGGATGTAGGGAAAAGTGCCGACACTTGTCCATAGATTATAGATAATGTCCATCAGACCTATTTGACTAACTACCCCCTTTGGGGGAGAACTATATCTCCAACTTTGCTCACCAGGGTTTCCGCAAGAGGAGCCACCGCCGCTTCTATTTCATCCAGCTCGAAGGCTTCGTAGCCCGGTGCGTAACCGAGGCTCATCGCCTCCAAGTCGATGCTTTCATCATAATGCGAGTGGGCGATGGCGAAGGCTTGGGTGATCCCTGAGCAAAGTGCTTCCTTCTCCAGCTAGCGCATCCACTGAAAGCTCTAGTTTGGTTTTGGTTAATTGATGAAACCCTATGTGCTAACCTAGTTTATCAAAGTGATTATGAGATAGGTAGCACTACTCCAAGTGATGAGACAAATGAAGATCATATCATGATGATGGTGATGCCATGGTGATGATCAAGTGTTTGGACTTGAAAAGAAGAAAGAGAAAAATAAAAGGCTCAAGGCAATGGTATAAAAGGTAGGAGCCATTTTGTTTCGATGATCAAGACACTTAGTGAGTGTGATCACATTTAGGATCGATAGCCGTACTATTAAGAGGGGTGAAACTCATAATCGAAATGCGGTTATCAAAGTGCCACTAGATGCTCTAACTCATTGCATATGCATTTAGGATCTAGTGGAGTGCTAACACCCTTGAAAATGTTTATGAAAATATGCTAACACATGTGTACAAGGTGAAACACTTGGTGGTTGGCACATTTGAGCAAGGGTTAGTAATGAAGACATTCCTAGCATTCACTCATCTCCAAATGAAGCTACACTTGATATAGCTGGTCCAATTACAAGGAGTAGAGCTAAATAATTAGAGAAGGAAATTCATTCTCAGGTGAACGCTAACCTTATGCTTAATAATCAGATTACATTGAATGAACCTATGCTTTTGAGTATTTGTTTCAATGTTCTTAGGAATGATGGAGTGCACGGACAAGCATGGGATGATGATGGATTCTGCCCGCCAAATATATGCATGGAACCTGGACGTGCATGAGAGAGGAAAGGCCATTCAGCTACCATGAATATCAGCCGTTGAAGTGCAAGCAAATAATTTGGGAGTTAGGAATGCATGCAACCAAAGAATCTGGGTTGTTGTCCACACACGCTCCGGCATGCATGCAGAGAATACCAACCAGCTAGGTGCCCTACTAGGCTTGGTTATTAATAAAAGTAGTCTTTGCAACTTCCCACTACATGTTCTCAATTATTTTCCACCAAACTGAATCTCCACTAGTGCTATATATCCCGTAATGGATGACGTGAACAGGAACTCATGATTGCAATTTCAGAAATACCAACTCTTGGAATTCTTGTTCCAGTAGTGAGTCTTGAGAGGCTTGCAAACTTGTTCTTTCGATTCACGAGGGAGTTGTAGAACACCGAACTGCGGTTCACCTAGTTTGTGCCTTCACGTCTATACTGGCGTGATTACGGGCTGCTGTTCGGTCGATGCGTGGAAGGGTGATTGTCTCGGTAGTTCGTCGCGTGGACAGCCTCGTGGTGCATTGCCTCTTCATCGGTCGCATAGAACGACAATTTATCAAGTTCGCAGATCCTACGAGAAGATCGGGCCACAACAACTTGCTACGTCTTTGCATAGACGTGTGCACATCATCTGGTACCAGAGCCTCCGTTTACTCGTTAGGATTGTTCTTGTTTTTGGTAGGATAGAGTTTATATACCTA